GGGCTGGTGTCTCCACCATGCCTGTCCAGGACAGCGCAGACTGAAGCCTCCCCTCGCAGGTAGTTAATACAGTGCAAGGGCTGGGCTGAGGAAGGAAGAGAGTGCACTTGGATATGTTTTAATTTCCACATGATCTAATTTTTCACAAATCTCACTTATTTCCCTTAACATCCATCTGCAATGAATTCCAAGAGAGCACAGCACAAAGGCCAGCTACAACCTACGTGCCCATGTTGATCCAGGGTGTTGTTGGTGAGCTTCAGTTTTTGGAAGGAGACAGGTTCTTTCATCCAGTGACTGCCAGGAGCTGGGGAATCTGGGTGGACATAGGTGCGACAAGGGAGCTGGGGCTCTGCTTTTCCAGCAACTTCCCACTGATCTTTATTCCACTGTGAAGGGAAAGATGGAAATATAGAGCTTAAAAAAATTACTTACATTACAGGAAAACACCAGCAACTTTGCTTCACTGTTGATTTAGTGGACTCCTGTGAAGCACATCTCTGACAAGAAGCAGATTCTCTCTTATAAGCCATGATCATGTTACCAAAACAGCTCCAAGTTTAGGCATCATTTTTCCTGCCTTTCTCCCAAAGGCTGTCAAGAGAAGTCTGACCATTAATCATGATTAAAATTGTACCACTTACAATGAAAATTAGTTACCTTTCCAGCTGCTCCCCAAGAAAAACCAACAAACAGCTCCAGAAAGGCATAAAATCCACCAATTATTTCTGAACTTTGTCCAAAGACAATTTATCAGCCTGGCCAGTGAAGCATAAAGATTAATCTATTCCAAATAGAGATGGAAGGACAGCATAACTTGTATTATTTAAAGTACTTACCTTGTATCTGAAGTTGTCCATTGGCACAAAATCTACCAGCATGAGGTACTTGGCATATGGGATTAAGCCGGAGACTTTGATTTTACATTGTGGAAACATTCGTCTGAAGGAGAAATGAAATATACAGTATAAAGATTTCTCTATAAAGTGGCTATTGTCTAACGATCAAGCAGCAGGTCATGTTTACTCACTATCTGCAAAGTTCTGGTAGTAGTATTTCTACAGGCCAGCTATTGCACATTTTTACCATTTTACTGATGTATTGTCTAACCCTATGGGCTTAGGTGGAATAGGCACTAACAGGGCAGCAGTCGCTGATGGCCTGACATTGCTACTGCTTTTGTTCTTGCGATTCCTGTAACACAACAGTGGGAAACTTAAAACATTTGGAATTTGCACGTAGTTCCTAGCCTTCTGCAGCTATCACAGACCTGGAGGATAGATTAGAGCATTTTCTAGCGTGGGTAGAAAACATGCTCTCATCTAGCTTTCCGTTCCAGTACTCCCTGCCACCACTTTCATCTTCTGACTCTGCAAAAAGCCTTTGACACCTACCTCCCTACCCAAAGGGATTATTTCAGCTCACAGCAGCTTTGACATAATACATTACAATTTCACAATTTCATATTCTTTCACTGCAAGCTGCACAATGCATGACTCATTTAAACTTTAGAGTAGTCTGCACGTGCAGATTGTTACTATTCTACACCATGTTCTTGTCTGCAAATGCAGACTCGAGCCTAGGTATTTACTGCTGAACTGCTTCTGCCTGTGACCTAAGCAAAGGAAGCTCACGGCACTGTCCAGAGTAATCCCAAAGCGACAGGAAGAACAGCAATGTTAAGAGTTGAGATAAGAGTACAGTTTTCTCAACATATCAGCTCAACAGTGACCTTTTGCACTTCACAGTTGAGGTTTCTACTACAGCCTGAAAGTGCAATTCTTCTGCCAGAGGCAGGGTGACATGCGTAATTGGCTAAAAAACTAGTTTAATGGCCACCATTAAAAAAATGAGCACTCAGAGCATGTTGATAACAGCTTGGAGGGGTGCGGTGTGGGCAGCTGTCCTGCTCCCCTCACCTGCCGGATTTGGTGATGATCATCTCTGTTCCAATCTGATGAAACTTCATCCAGAGACCCATGTCCTCAAGGGTGACCACGATGGAGCTCTGGGGGTAGGGCTCCAGGCTGGGGGAAGGAAGTGCCTCACATGGCGCTTTCACCTCTACCGGGAGAGAGAGAAAACGGTAACTTCAGACAGGCAGGAGGGGAGCTGGCATGAAGCAGCCTCTCCTGCTCAGAGGCAGGGCCCGGAGATGCAGCCCCACATCAGCCCTCCCACAGCCCTCTCCCTGCAGTACACGGAGCTACCAAATTTCACATGCTGTTGTAACAGACAGGGCCCATACATCTGGCCATTCGTTCCTCCCATTTCAGCCCCAAACCACCACACAGTGCCCAGCACTGGTTCAGCCCAGGGAGCTGAACGCCATGATTTCACCCATGAAGGTCCCGGGTGCTGCTAAGAACTAGGGAGTCTGTGCCACAATAAACCTCTTAAAGAAAATCCAATCTTTTCCTTCAAAGGCTTTTTGTTACTTAGTCAGCTCAGAAGGTATAAAGGCTTTTACAACACATTTCTTTTTAGCTGTTAAGTTCTTTTGTAGTGTGTTGTACAAACTCAACCTGACTGACTTTGTTCCAAAACTCATACTGGCAGGGAGCCACAATCCACTTTCATTCCTATTCTGGTATGATCAGCTATAACACAAAACACTTAAGTAAGAGAATAAAATGAAAGCTGAAAGGATTAGAAAGATTTTGAGTGTACCAGTGGGTAACAGGAGAAAACAACAGGTAGGTGGTAGCAGAGGTGAAAAAAATCTCTCCAGAGGACAAAGAAGGGATAGACAGGAGACCCAAGTGAAGTGGAAGCAAGAAAGGGAACTGACAGTGTTGGACCACAGAATATTCTGAAAACAGGACAGCTGGTGTGACCTGGACTTGGAGATGGAGACCACCGAGGAGCCTGTGATGGCAGCAGAAGGTGCCTCTTCAGTAACACACCATGGCACATCAGAGGAGCTGCCTGCAATCTGCCTGCGCTTTCTGTTACAGGCAGAGGACTAACTATGGTCCTGGGGAAGAGGAAAGGGAAACTACTCTGGAGAAACTACCTTTCGTGTTCATAGTACCCACCTCCTCTGTGAAGCTGGAGTAAAAAATCTCCTATGTGAGCTCTTTAATACATCGTAACACACACAAGATTGCTGCTGCCATACTGAAAAGCCCAGGTAAAACCCCCCAGTTCCATTTTAGGTCAAAAATGTGCCCTGGTGGACTGATTTCATACCCAGTAAGGCTTTACTAACACTGCCCTGCAGTCTGAATGAGGTATTGGTAAGTCTGCTCGACTTGGGGCACTCGCAGCAGCATCAGTTCAGCGCTGGCAGGCGCTCTGGGTGATGCATTATCAGCCACGCACAGCTTTTGTTTAAAAGGGAGATTTTTCTGCATCTTGGTCTGCATCAGATCTTATTCACAGTGTATCAGAAATAAGGGAATTTTCACCTTGTTACAGCTTTCCTGAGTAATGTCTTCAAAAGAATAAGCATGAATAGTAGACAACTATTTCCAGAGAAATTAGGTTTTTTTCAGAAAGCAACATTTTTCCACAAAAACTACCCAACGTGAGTCTAAGGGGTTCTTCCCAATAGTATTAGGAAGTAAAAAAAAAAACCACCAACAAAATATTTAAATGTAATTTTGTCAGTTTGCAAAGGTCTTTAGGCATTTAAAAAAATATCCTCTACCCTTTTTTCTGCTTTGATCCAACATTAATGAACTGGCCAAGAAGTGACACCTAGTTTGCTCACTAAGATTAGCCTGTTAACATCTTCTTACTAAAGCTTCCCCCATATCCTCTTGCAAAGACATGAAAGCTGCCATGAGACGATGCATTCGGTAGCACAGTGCAGCACATGTATCAAAAGGAGTTACAATAAAATTGGGCTGATTTCCCACAGGAGTCATCCAGTCACAAATACATGCAAACAGATTTTGATTAGCTAGACAGATGCTCACTCCTTTCCCAAATGAATTTTACAATTAACATTTTTGTAAGCAAATTCCAATGCCATTAAATGAGACTACAAGGAAGAGCTCAGGAGTCTTTATTGAGGGGAGACTTCCAATGAAATCAAGAGGAATTTAGGTGAAAGGAGTTCAATACTGAATTAAAAATCAAAGGCCAATATTATAATCTGTTTTTCACTAAAATGAGTCCACAATGCACCTGTATGAGTGAGATGCTACAGGAGACAGGGAAAAAGAATAGCACATACCATAAACACTGCAGCAAAGACTTTAAATTGTAGTTAATGTCTTTCATGCGGCAGGTTTTATATGCACAGTCTGAGTCTGAGAAACAAGACATTAACAGTTTGCACGGGGATCTGGGCCCCAGCAGTGGTGTGGGCTTGCTAATGGATCCCCACAGCTGCACGCAGTCACGTGCAATTGGCTTCAGTGGGATTCTGCAGCGGTGGATCCATTTGTAGGATCCTCTTGGGATTTGCTTTGCAGAACCAAAGGCTGGCTTGCAAGGCACTTCAAATTCACTCCTAGTTTGTGCCTATGTAACAACTGCCAAGACTCGTGCACGCGTCTCCCCCACAAAGATGCCTGCATACTGGAACTACAGCACAAAGAGGTTTGTGGCAGGGTGTCCAAGCACCGAACCAAACTTGTTAAAGCTGTACTTCCATTGTTTCCTCTTCTTCATAACTTAGTTTTTATTTTAAGTATTATTTGAAAGAGATTTACACATTTTCTAAGAATTTTAGTTCTAAGCTATTTTAAAAGTATTATCATCATCATTGCAGTGGTAACATTGCCTGTGGCACATTGTAAAATATATTCTTTATGCCAAGATGAGGTTGAAAAGGAAGATAGCTGCTCTGATAAAGGCACTGAAAATGAAGATATCTTCAATCTCTTCCATGTTTGATTTTAAAGTAATTATACAAATAAGACCAGTTTGTCCTTCGGTTTCTGTATCTAGAATGGGCTGTACATATCTTTTTCCTATCTTGGAGATGTAAAGGAAAGAGAAATGAGGGTCAATTCAGTAGTGCTTGGGGGGGGTTGGGGTGTGTAAGATCTTTGTATAGAAGATGCTGGAGTATAATTTACTCACCTAAAGCAGTCCCTCAATTAATTGTCAATTACTGAGACAAAGTTATGATGTCAAAAAACTTGTTGCAACCTTCCCAAAATGTATGGGATAGGGATTGCAATAGTGGGAACACTCCAACAAGGCAAAAGGTATACTCTTCTTACCTTCGTTAAAATCAGTTATCTTCTGAGTGAAGAAGTCCAACACTAACAGCTATCCACTGTTCACAGGGAAGGAATGCACATCAAAATATAAAGCTATCCAAGAAATTAATCTTGCCAATAACCAAAAACCCCCATGTTCTCTGACCTTATACATGTCAGTAGAAACACCCCAACCCTCTGGAGGGAACCTCATTTCTCAGAACCAGAAAGCTTTTGGCAATAAGGAAAGCACTGTGTTTCTGTAAGTGCAATAGCTTCACCTCTCAAACACACCCAGTTATCACCTGGAATATCTCTGCTGTGTGGGGTCATTCACCAGAAACAACTCAATAAGAAAATGAGGTGACTTCTAAAGTTGGAATCTTTAACATGATAAAATACTGTAATACAGTCTGATTTTTCTGTTTTTGGTCTTTTGTTTTTCAAGTCAAAATTATCTTGAAGTGGTAGAAATCAGTATGAATCAGATCAATACAGTATGGACTGCTTTATAAAAACCAAAAATAACAGTGAAGGTGGAAATTATCCGAGTCATTGCACACGCATTTTGCTTATGAATGAAATAACATATTGCGGAGGTAGAGAAAGGAAGAACACTGAGAATACCCCGTCACCTCTAATGTGTACGTGAACTGCATATCTAAACTAGGGAAATAGTTGTTTCCTTCTGATGCAGAGTAAAACCCAGGACTAAATTTGGGTTTCAGTTACTGGCATCGCAGTACCTCTGGACTGGCCCTTCCATTTCCCAATGCATATCTGTCCTTGTGCCCAATCTGATCCTGCCTCAGGCAGAAGAGGTTAAAGTTATGAGACAGATTGATGAAGAAAAACGTAAATAAAACCGTAAGGAAATCACAAAAATCCTGTGTTTGAGCATGAACCTGGTAGAGGTGGGGTATGCCTTCTTGGGGTTTATACTTTCAAAGGGCAGAGAAAAAAAAAGAAAGAAAAAATGGATAGTTTGTATCAGAACTATTATTAGCAATGTAACTAATATTTCCAAACCTTCTGTGGCCTTCAACCTGAAGGAACTCAAGGTACTTTGCAGACAATATACAAATAACACCTCTAGTCTTCAGTGAGCAATCACACTGCACATACAGATAAGGAATAAGGGAGTTTTTGGGCACAATTGTGAGCAAATCTTTGCTACCTTACAAAAGATCTTCCCAAGGCTCACAAAGAACGCTCAAACCCACAATTTCTCATCTATTACTACTACAAAAAAAAAAAAAATTAGAAATCCTCTCCAGCCACACACACACTACTATAAATGCTGATAACCCTTCAGGAGCACTTCATCTTTTTCTAAAATGATTGTACGCTCTTGGCAATAAGTCTAGGATCTTTCTGTGCAATAAGGAATAGGAGGGATTCCTTTACCTACCTGCTAAAGCTTGCATTTTTCCATGTACTGTGGAGTCTAGGAGGTTGCACAGCCAAGAGAGCCACCAGAGTTCTTACAAGGGGAACCAAAATACTCCAGTTCAAAAGCAGGTCTGATTTCCTGAAGCAAGCAAAAGCCCTTCCTTCTGAGATCCAGTGTCAAGAGTGACTGGGATGAGGATGGGACTCCAAGCGCAGATAGCCAAGGTGAGTTCCTGTTTTATGGAGGCTAATGAGCAGGGAGGAGCTTCTCGCCAGGGCTGTCCCCTTGCAATCCTTTGATGTCCAAAGGGACAAAGAGAGGAAGGATCTGCAGCAATGGCTCAGGCTAAGGGAAGAAAATCAAAGAGAATTAACATGGCTTTGACATACAGGAAACCCTACAGGGGAAATGCACCTTGATTTACTGCTAACGGACTTTTAAACAAATAGAGACAAGACCAAAAACATCAGTTGAAGACTTACCTACAAAATAAAAAAATCCCTTAGACAGCAAGCAGGAAAAATTTCTTTCTGGCTATTCCAAGGATTTGATGTAATTTGCATCTCCAGAGCACAAGATCATTTTACTCTTGATTTCTGGTATCAGAATCAGGACTGTATTGAGCTTGTTCCTTCCCAAGTGGGTGATTAACAGTCTGTGGTAAAGTTTGCTCTCACAACTGGGATGCTGCAGCAACACATTCATTCACCAACAGATGTCTTCACTACCAGAAACACATTTGATGAGGTAACATTACTTACCTACCCAATCTCTGAATTCACAGCCTTTAACTGCAGTTAATTTTCCTACTGTGCTGTTTTTTCTACAGCAGGGTCCTCAGATATGCTGCACCATATCTGTTCTGAAGCTCAGAACTGAAGCTGCTCTACGTGCAGCACCTTTTCAGCTGAGCTCTATAAGTGAAAGTGGCAGTTGTCTAATGACACAGCCGTGCTAGCGCACCATTTCACTGGCACCTTCCAGGGCTAGTGCAAGTGATCCAAGAGTCTCATGGTGGATAAGGCGCTGGTTTTAGGCCTTGTTCAAGGCACTGCTCTTACTGAATGGAAGGCTGAGCAGAAACTGAAGGACTTGAGCATTTTCCCTTAATTAGTTTATTCTGCAGGTGTGACCATTAGCTTTTGTACTTACAAGTGCTAAGAGACAGCAATCAAGTCTCATGCTTCAGGGCACAAAACAGCCACTGCACCTTGGTGAAGAAGGGAGTTCTATGCATTCGTGTACAGAAATGGCTATACTAACATTTAAAGGTCAAAGATGTTCAAAAAGAGGAGGTCAAAAGCAGGATATCAGTCTCAATGAGGCAGTGTTGGATCCTGCACAGCAAATTTAGGAGCTCTGCTCATTTCAAAGAGCATTGCTATACAGTTGCAGCTTCGTTCCCAATAAAATAAACATTTTTTTATTTTGTCAGGGATGTTATTTGGACATCTGATTTTTAGTCTGACATGCAAAACATATTCTGAATTTTTTTAGTTTCTATAACTGAACAACATCCCTTTAGTTCTGCTTTTACTGCCTTTTGGAACAGGCAATGCAAGGATATGCAGAGGACAAAGGAGTTTAACCAGAGGAGGGACTGGCTCTTTCAATAGCATCTTGAATTTTAGGCATCCTGATGCTTAGTGCGGCAAGGAAGAATGTTTAAAAGAAAGGGGCTGGAGAGTTCGAGAAGTCCTGAGGAGGATTTTATAGCAGATGGTCTTTTGGCTCCTGGCACCCTTGGAGGACCACATCCAGCCTTCCTCACAACCCTTTAAAACTACTGGACAATACAGAAGACGACAGGCTCTTCTCTTTCAGCTAACCTGGGGACATTCAGAACTGGAGAGTCTCAGTACCACTGATGAGGAGACTATCATGTGGTGGAGCTACATCAACTTGTAGCTCAACTGGAGAATATTTATTACATATGTGGAAAAATAAATTGGAAGGGAAAATGGTATCAAGGTGAAATCTCCTTTGCTTGTACTTGCACAGCCACTACCAGACACAAACAAAACAGGATGCAGAAATGCTTTTCTGTTCTGCTACAGAAGAAAAGCCACCATCAAATCTGCCCCCCCCCCCCCCCGGTTTTCCAATGCCAGTATTTTAATTGTAGAAAGCGAAAAAGAATCAGAATCTGAAAAGGAAAACTAGAACAAAAATTGGGTCAGATTCAAGCTAGCAGCGAGATGGATCAACATCCTACACAGTATGAAACTGCACAACAGCAGCAGCACTGGGAATTTCAGACTCTTCACCTGACAGGAGCGTGGGATGTGTATCATGACTTACTGCTTCTTCCACGAAAAGGTATGAGATGGTCTCCTGCTGCCACTTCATTTGCACACTGTGTATCAGCATGTCTAGAGAACACACATTTGCTACAAGTATTCAAATCCTTTTGGCTTTTCCCAGCTGATTGATGGGGAAGGTGGAGTCATTAATTACCCATGACTAGTTAACAACTAGCTTTCTCCCAGTCATTCTAGTTGCACTGAAAAGGTTTTAAAAGGTGTGTGTGGGGGGGGAAGCAAATTTGTTACTATTGCTGGAAAGCGTGGCTAACAGGAGCAATCCCCATGAAATTCATCACTAGCAAAGGGGGAATTTAGCACATTATCCTCTTGTCTGTCTGTCCATGGAGCACCCTCAGGCAGTTTGCTGGGAAGTCAGAGGTGAATGTGCTGGTGTCTAACAATTCACTGGCAAATTGGAGGCTGAGGGGGTTGGAAAGGGATGGGAGAGATAGTGGATCTGACATGTGTCAGTGACATACACAGCTCTGCTCCGAGCTCATTTACAGCAGCAGGTAAAAATCCTGCTGGCTGTGCCCAGCTCTAACAGTAGGCTCTCCTGCTATGCTGAAGGGGATGAGGTAGGGCAGTGCAGAAGGAGGGGATGTGCAATGACAAAAGCAGAGGCCAGAGCTTTTGCTTTGCATCTCTTTGAGGAGGTGATTAGAAAGAAACATTCCCCTCTGGGTTTTGCAGTAAGGCAAATGTTTTCTGGCACTTCTCCTGCAAGTGAAGCTTTAACCCTTAACACTCAACAGGACCCTGTAGGGAACTGCTCTGCACACATACCATCCCCCCATTCCTACCTTCTGAACCAAGAGCTCTTGGAGATGGGGTGGTCATCTGCCCATCTCTGGTGGCGACTGGGGCTCTCAGACTGCGGGAGAACAGATAACGCGTGTCAGCTAGCGGGAGGCTTTGGGTATCAGGATCTGAGTCTGCAAGTGGCTGCACAGGATGCACCACCTCTGTCCAGGCAGAACTTCCAGGACAACATTCTGCCCTGAGAGCAAGCTCAAGTGCAAGGCATTAAGTTACTGTTTGGGACGCTGCTGAAATGCAACAGAAATCCAGATTAGTAATAATGATCTTTTGAAAGAGCTGGTCTTGGAGCATCACTCCAGTGCAGTAGCCAGCAATTCAACCCCTGCAGGGTTCCCTGCACAGGGCTGTGAGAAAGCATTATCATATCAGCTTTAATAAAACTGAGCTTAAGCAAAGCAGTCTTGTCTGCCTGAGTTTGCACAAGCAAGAAAAAATAATATGGAGAAGTACAATCTGCATTTAAGAGATACTCCCCTCTGAAACATGAAGACAGCCTTACTGTCATTTAAATGTAACTTGTTTAGCAGATTCCCAACTGGTACATGTAAGCCACAGTCCCATAGCATCCTGGCAACTCTTTATGAAGGATACTCTGCCATCTGCACAGGATGAATACTGAAAATGTGGAAGGATTGCATGTCATTAATAGGACCCAAAATAAAATAAATAGATAGTCCTACACTGATAGCTACTTATTTTCATACCTAATTAAAAACATGAAGTAGCCTCAGACTCTCCAGACACTTCAGAATCCACAAACCTGCCCCTTAAATACAGGCTCAGCTCGCTGTGGAACAAACAAGGCCTGATTACGCACACAGGGCAATGTGGAAAAGCAGAGAAAAAGCCTGATCAAACTATTGCTCCTATGGCTGTGCCAGCCTCAAAGCATGTGACTTGTTATCCTTGTTAGTGACCGATGTCTCATACAGAAAAAAAGGAAATACAAGTGCAACTCCTCAGACAGCACTGAGGTGACGGAGTGAATGGAGCAGGGTGGGTCAGGACAGAGCGGCTCAGCTCTGACAGCATGAGCACAGTCTGAATTTGGGCAGCTTTATCAGCAACTCTCTGTGGGCAGCTACAGAAATGGCAAAAGCCTGCAAAGTGTTCTGAGATGCTCTGAGGAGGTATTACGTATAATTTCCTATTGTGGTAGTACAAAGAAGGGTTCCTTCCCAGCTCCTTAGAGCAGCTAACATCACAGAGCATTTTTCCTCTGATGGTGGGAAATGGCTTCCCCCCACTATTTACAGTTGCATTTGATTGCTTTTTCCTAGGAAAAGTTGTCTGGTATTTTCATGTTACATGTCCATTGCCATGCAGATGTTCCTACCCTCGGACCCGTTCAAGGGGCCCCACAGAAGGCAGACCTCTGTACGGCTGAAAACCCCATGCTGAGCCCCAAATTGTATCACCCCCAAATCTTGCCTGTGCTCTCGGAAAGCAAAAATCACATTTGGCAAAAGAAAACAGTTGGTCAGAGAGGGCCTGTTGGTAACAGCTCAATGCTAATTCACAAGAGGATCCCTGGACTGAGGCGCAGTGTGCCGGGGGACCAGCCACATGCCTGTGCCCACCCCGAAGGAGGCTGTTATTTCAACAGTGATGGGATCTGTTTTGGAAGGGAAGGTGTGAAAGTGGCTCATGTAAATGAAAAGTTGTACATTATAAGTTTAACACAAGGCTTTTCCTCTTGCAGGTTTGTGGATTGAGGTATCTGGCCACAAAGCTGTGCTCCTGAACTAAAGAAAAGAGGATGCTTTTCTGCCTCTCCTTTATCATATCCGCCCTCCCCAGCCCTCCTGGAATATGCACCCGCTTCTCCCAGCAGTTAGTTAGCATTGAGACAAGAAGGGAAATACTTAGCAGCCACTTAACACTGAAGGCTGAGTTTGGCCTCAAAGGTTACAGTCCAGAGTCAAATGCAAAATATTTCTGTCTAGAGCTCTTTCAAGTTTTCACAGACTCCTGATGTTAGGTGCAGTGTTTTCCTGTCAACCCATTGTGTTTCCCAGACACAGCTCAGCACTCTGTCCCACTCAA